AGAACCGAATATTTTCCAAGTTCAGTGGCACTGTTTCTTCCCTTGAAATAATTACTATGGGCACCCTGGGAAATTTAATATTCCTGTACATGCCCATAGGGCTGTTGTTTGGGCAAAGCCACGAGCCCTGGGTGGGGATGAGTCCAAGCAGTTTTTCTCCATCTTGCTACCACTGTGAAATCCACACAGAATCACACGCAGAGAGAATTGCCCAGGTGGGAAAAGACCTTCAAGACCAAGTCCAACCACTGACAAATCCTTGACTAAACCGTATGTCTGAGCGCTGTGTCTACCCAGCTTTAAATTCCTCCAGGGACGGCAATTCCACCCCTGCCCTCGGCAACTCCTTGCAGTTCCCGAGAACCCTTTCCATAAAGAAATTCTTCCTACTACCCAACCTGGCCATGGCCAGAAGCACTGAGGACTCCAAGAATAAGGGTGAATAAGTTAAAGATTGAGAAAAACAAATATCAAGACTAACCTGCCTGGCATAAAACCAGAAAACACTCATCAGAGCTGGCTTTGCAGAGACAAACCCAAACTTGTGGTGGCCAGCATGGAGACGAATCTTTAAATGGGCTTGGATCAGTCCTGGTAACAAACAGGGTTGTGATGTTCCCCAGAAGTGACACAAGACAAATGAAGGCAAAGGGAAGAGAGCCAGATGCCGACAGTTCCCAGCCCTCAGATGCCCGTAAGGATAAATGTGTCTGGTGTGGAAGTGGGCTTCTGAGAGACATGATATACGAGAGATGGCCTGCAGTGAAAAACAAATATCACAGGCATCAAAGGAGCGAGTCTAAAAGGGCACAGCAAACACATGTAGATGTGAAGCCAAAGTTGGAAAAACACCGATGTCAAATAGGGACACGGACCAGACACCACAAATTTCAGGTCCTGGAGATGCCAGCAGTTGGGTGTTCAGTTATCCTAAGGTAAGGTCATAGACAGAAAACATCTAGAGAGCAACTTATTTTGAGGTTCTCCTTCTCTGCATCACATGAGCTGCAGCATTGTAATGAAGTTTCCAGAGAGAGTATGCTGCTTATAAAAATAGTCTGGTGATTACTGACTACAGGAGATTTGAAAAATACACCTGTGTCCTATTTTTATAAAACCTTGAGATCAGCAATTAGCACCAAAAAGCTCTTGAAGGTTTTCTGCCCCGAGTATTTGGACAAAGACCACGACTTTGGCAATAGGTCTTATGGGGAGGTGGGGAAAGTCCCCTTTTACATGTTGGTCCCACGGCATGGAGCAGTCCTTGGGGAGCTCCCACAGAGCTTCCCACCAGCAGAGCTGACCCTTTCTTCACCCCCTGCTTTGGCCAGCACTTGCTGCAGAGCGATGGGCATCTCAGCACCAGCTATCCAGGGCGCTGGATGAGATCCTCTGGCAGAGGGCTCACAGGAGGGTTATTGTCCCCCTGTGCCTTGCACTGCAGGCTGTGAGCAGAGGGATCCTTTGGTCAGGGGCCAGTCCTTCCAGCAGCCTCTCTGACCAGGAGCCCCACAGGCTAATGTCCACATGTAAAGCTGGTGGCATATCTGGTCTCCGTGTTGCAGTGGGAAGGGCTCTACCAACCGCCTGCCATGCAAGTGCTTACCTGTGAGTCGATGGCCAGGACTGGAAAGCTCTGCTGTGCTGGGTCTCCTCATGCACAACTCCACAAGGTCTTACTGTGCACTGGGCTCCCCCAAGCCTCTACTCCCCAGCTTGAGCATCTGGTTTCTCTGCGAGACGTGCAGAAAGCTTTATGTGCCCCAAAGCATGGCTTTCTTCCACTTAACAGAAGTTAGATTAGATACTCATTGTAGGTGCCTTCCAACTGAAGTGTTTATACTGTATTAGAAGGACAAAAAGATGTTACGAACTTGTAGCAGATCACCATAGCTAGAGCTACAGCTGATGTTCCCCCACTGCTCTTCAGCTCTTCCGGTTAGCTCCTGAGACCCAGGGACCACATCCAACGCAGAGCCCTCCTTCCAGGTGACCTTGGCTTGCTTGTAACCACAGGGGGGACCTCTCAGGCTGCAGCGATCCGTTACACACATGCATCCAAAGCTCCAGAAAAGCCAGAGGAAACAAATGCACATCCAGCCTAGATCCGTCCTGTTACACATCAAGAGCAAACGTGAAAGTGGAGCGATGCTGCTGTGCTCCTGGACTGAGGGGAGTCTGGGCCCCTTGTGCCCCGGACACCACAGGCAGTTTACCTGACCCTGTGTGAGAAATCATGGGCCAGAACTACGTGGAAAAGAGCAACTTCCCAGCTTTTATGCTGTAGATGATAGGGGTCAGCCTAGCAGGAGGGAACCACCAGGTAAACATCATCCATGAGGATGTGGATGAGAGGGGAAGCATGCTTACCATACCAGTGAACCATGGCAAAAACCACCAGAAGAGTGGACAGGCAGTTGTTCAAAGCCTTGAGATGCTCCCTTTGGGGTGCAATGCTCACAACAGCCCTGGGAATAGATGGCACGAAAAGGAGGACGAGGTCAAAAGCCAGATAGAGAATGACTACAGCAGAGCCATTCCAGTTGCTGAATGGGATGCCTGTACACATCAGCTTGATCAGGTCTTGATGCAGACCTGGTAATGATAACCTCAATTCCAGAAGTGTAGAAATGCCCAAGGCACCTTGACCAGCCCAGGACACCGGCCTGTCATTACATATTAGAGACAAACCCAAACTGGTGATGACAACCCAGACAGGAAATGATTCAGGGGCTCATGGAAGCCTGGGTCAGTCCTGATGTCAAACAGGGCTGTGCAGATCCCCACAAGAGACAGAAGACAAGCAGAAGAAAATGGGATAGAGAGCAAGCTGCAGTCAGCTCCTATCCCAGCAATGCCAGTCAGGATTAACACCATGGGTCTGTAACCACCGCTGCTCCGTAGTGTCAGGCTGCTGCATGGATGCTCTTCAGTACATCACTACAGGGCATTTTGTGTGAAGATCCCCTCTCTCTGCCTCACAGAAGCAATCAGGGTGTA